TATTATATATATATATATTTTTTTTACAGTTTAATCCCTATAATATAATTGATATTTTTTATAACTATTTTCATGTTATGGTCAATACCCAATAAACAGGCAATATTAAAATGTTATACTATTTATATTTTATCTAAATAAATTACAAATAAAACACTAAAATCAGTCTTTTTAAATGCTGAATTTAAAAGTGGACTTAGGCATCAAAATATTATAATGTTTAGTATGTTACATAACAGTGTTATTAAATTATCAGCATTTTTATAGATTAACATTGAGTTAGATGACTATGAAAGCCTATTTTCGCAACATAAGAAATAAATCATGTTTTGGTAAATCATAATTATGAAATACTAATTCATAATTATTAAATTAAAAGTCAAAATTATGACATAAAAAGTTTAAATGATCACAAAGTCTAAATTATAATAAAAACGTCTTAATTATGATACACGTCACTTTTTAACATCACATTTTATGTCAATGTTTTATCTCATAATTCTGAAATTTTGTCATAATTTGTTTCTCATAATTTCAACTTCTATGTTATAATTACGACATACTAAAGCATGATTGAAATGGGCTTCATGGCAATACTGATCGAAATATAAAAATAGTTTAAATGAGCATAAAAAATTAAATATCCAATATCAACCGTTATTGATAAATCGAAAAATCTTTAATATCAGTCAATTACAAATGCACCATTAGTCACTGACCTGACAAACTTTATCAAATAGCCATATCATCATCCAGGTACCTGAAAATTATTTTGTTTCCCAACACTCCCGGATGTTGTGCTGCTGTCAGATATCTGATTGAGGCTTGTGAATTTCACAAGTGCTTTTCTTTTCGGGAAATATTAATCATCAGACAGTCATCGAACTGATTGTGGGCGGTCTGTAGGCAGTCCGTCTGAGGCTGAGACTACATTGAACAATCGCAGTGTGGAACAGTTTCTAAGAGCGATACAAAGCCTTGATTACTACAGCAGACACACACTGGTGCCAATATGAACGTCTGTTCCTCTGCACCAAATGATAGTGGAGGAACGTCTCGTTAGACAGTCTACATGCTGTCATTGACTGTTTAGGGTTAATTAGTCAGGGTGGCGCCTCAGACGGGCCGATCTGTCACCGCGAGAGTGAAACTGAGGGATGGCCCGTGAATCGTGATCATCTGCTGGCTGGAAGGGAACAGTGTGTTACCTGGCACTCTTTTCTCTTTCTCTTTTACAATACCATCACGGCAGCTTTACGGCAGACTTTATTACATGTGGATCAATGGGGTTGTAGTTGTAATTTCTGAAATTGTTGTGTCATTCCAGAGTAGATGACAGAGCAGGCTGGATTGAGTTTTTTTCTAATAAACCTGCATGAATTTGCATGCATGAAATCATGCAAACCCTTATCTTTTGCAAATCATCATAAAAAAAAAAACCGTTAGGGGTATTGAATTCTCAGGAAATCTCCAGCAATGAAACTGATCAAACTCAGTCTGAGAGAGTAAACAGTCATGGTAAAGCGATGTAGGTTTGTGACTACAGTAGATAAATGTTTAAACTTTGTTATGGGTAAAGTAACCCTTGGAATCATTCCAATGTATCTTTAGCCACACAAATTCTGTCTAAAATTCATAAGATTTAAAATTTGCTCTCAAACATTTGACAGATCTCATTCTATTCTATTCTATTCTAGGCCTATCTAGTAATGGGTTTAGACACTCACTGTAAAAAAAAAAGAAGTTATGACAACATATGTTGTTACATTGCTTTAACTCAAAATAAGTAAACTTTTATTTGTTATACAAGATTCAACTCATTTTTTAAAGTCAGTTTAATGTGATTTAAGTTGAAATTACTTAAATATCCAAGTTGATTGTACTTAAAAATGCAGATTAAAAGATCAAAAAGGATTAAAAGATACGGTTTACATAAATGATAGAAAATATAGAAACGAAGAAATGCCCCTAAAAATCAATTCCTTCCAAGGGGGAAATATTGCCCCTTAAAGGGTTAGTTCACCCAAAAATAAAAAATATTTTATTAATTGCTCACCCTCATGTCTTTAAAATAGTCCATGTGGTAAACTAACCCTTTAAAGGGACAGTTCACCCAACAATACTAAAAGATCAAAAATAAAAAAAAGTCATGAAACATGAAATGGCAATATTAGGCAGAACAACCTCAGTCAACAAACATTGTCATTTTGCTCAACATCTTTTGTGCTCCACAAATGAATTTTTTTAATAAAAAGTCAAACAGGTTTGGGACAACATGAGGGCAAGTAAATTATGTCATAATTTACAGATTTTCATGTTTGTGTTAGGTAGAATTTCTTTTTTTTAAATCTGCCTCATCTCATGACTCAACGCAGGACAACAACTATCAATGTTGGTTACATGATGTAACTAGTTACATGTAACAGAGTTAAGTAATTTAATTACAAAACAAATGTAACTGTAATCTGTTATTACTAAGAAAAAATGTGTAATTAAATTAATAATATTAATTTGTTGCTTTGCCTGTTTTTGATGTTCACTATGCCTGCTGCCATTTAGAGGCCGTTTAGTAAAGCGATGCTATTCTGATACTTTTGATTGGTTCTCGTTTGAATTTGCAGCTCACCACGTCTGACAATTGCATCAATCCACATTGCCGCTGAAAGCTTTAGGCTACAACCTAAACCAAAAATGTTTTCCTCAAAAAATGTAATTTCTTTTCCACTGAAGAAAGAAAAACATGAACATCTTGGATGGCATTGGGGTGAGTAAATTATCAGGAAATTTTCATTTTGAGGTGAACTAATCAATGTAGAAAAGGTATTGCCTACTCCCGCCTTCCACACCATGCTACTAATGTGTATTAGATGTATTTTAGCTATGTATTGCTTGGTGCATGTCCATTAGTTTATTTAACAATGTCAATCTCCATTCATAACAAATTAGCTAGTCTGCTAGCTAGCTAAAAGCGTCTTTATCAACCATACTTATATTTATGAACACTTTGACAGAAAATATATAAATGTTTTTCTCCTTGAATAAGGTTGGTAACCATGCCAGATCTAATATGAGTTATTTCAGCATTGTAGCATATAACCACACACAGAATAGGACATGCTTATTCGGTAACAGTTTTATTTCCTATTTGGATTCATGTAAATGCTTTATATTTAAGATTAACTGTTTTTTTTCTTCTTTGAGGTATTGTTTTATGTCAGTGTTGTTTCCTGTCATAGCTATGCAAAGATTTGATTTCAAAAACAGTAGCATCGCTATTAAACTATTTCTTGTTATGATTTTAAATCTGTACTTAACCCCAGAACGATCTCAAAGTAAACAGAGGTGCTAAAGTCCGATTATGTGGTGGCTGTGATTTAAAATTAAATTAAGGATTTTGAAAGTCTGACAGTAATCAGTGTTGAGTAGGCTACTACTGTAAGGTTAACCCTGCCTTGTTTAAATGTTTGAAAATGATAGAGATAGAAATTTAGAAAAGTAATCAAATGTAATCAGTTACATTACTTTAATAAAGTAATTGAAATAGGTAACGTTATACTACTTATTACATTTGAAATAGGGGAACTTGTAATCTGTAACCTATTACATTTCAAAAGTGACCTTCCCAACACTGCAACTTATAAATACACACACACACACACACACACACACACACACACACACACACACAGGTTAACTAAACTGATTAAATTTCTCAGTGATAAGGGCCTTTGGCAAACGGATCGTTTAAAAGCATTTCGCACAGACATTACACGGGTCATACTCTATAACCGCTAACGTTAATCCTCCAACATCGGATAAAGATCTGGAACAGGTTGTACAACAACGGCACAGAGAAACGGCCTCAAAAAAAAAAAAAAAAAAAAAACGAAACAAAACAAAAAAACAGAAGTAATGCTTTTATAACTAACATGTCAGTGATATTTAAACCTTTATGCGTTGGAGACTCACCTCACTCGCCGCACTGCCGATTGCCATCTTTCGCCAAGGGTCAACTAGTTGTGCCAGGGGCATCTTCACTTTTTGGAGGTACCCTTGTTTTATGAATCAGATTCAAAAGAACAATTCTGAGCTACTTTGAAGAGATTATGCCTGTTTGTATCCACGCTCTTGACACTGATAGAGAAAGCTAGGAATCCGTTACTTGCGTAACGTATCCAAAAGCGCCGCCACCTTTTCATCCACTCACTTCTGTCAGTCAGTGCAGCGTTTCCATAGAAATAGAATGACCGTGCCCTGATCTCGCGCCAGTCGCCCTCTCTCTCTCTCTCCCTTCGCTTTCCCGTTTGACAGAAAAAAACACGTTTACGCGTGCTATATTCACTTCCGCTTCTTCCAGAATGACGCATTTGATTGGCTGATATGCTTGTCAATCAATGATAGAGGGGAGGGGCTAAATCTGTGCTGCTCAAAGTAGACGGACAGGTGAGAGTGCAGTCAGTGCATTTGATGCCCCAACCTGTGATCCGAGTAAACACGTATTTATATAATATTTACATTTATTTAATATTATACTTTTACTGTATGGAAGGTAGTAAATTAGTACGGCCACTCAGAAATATGATCTGTAAATATGATAATTACCTATTCAGACTTGAATTATGGACACAAAATGCTTTATTTCTTCCCTACAAGAAAGCCCAAATGAAAATAAGTTTATCATCAGTTTAATAGTTATTTCTAATATTTATTCCAATGGACAATATATCTCTTTTGCTTATATTGAAATCCACTATGGAAACAATTTCTTTAATAAGTGTTGCTCGTCAGTGTGATTCATCATCGGCCATCATAATCTTTTGATGGCATCATATGACACTGTAATGTACGTAAGAATGTGCCTCCAATGAATTGGCATCTACTGTCCCTTGCCAGTGATATGACACTTTATTCACGTAAGTGGAGAGTGCGACACCTGCTGGGTGAGTCTATTATGATCACTTCTAATGCGTGTTTCAGTGACTCAAATACTGACGCAAATATAAGTCAAGTTATTACATATTTATTAATTCCATTCTTAGTTAAATATATAAATGAATTAACAGTCTGCAAAACTAATTGCTAAGTAACAGCTGTTATGGAATGTATCTATGAATATATGGATAACACAAGTTTCATCCATCTTTTTGTGCGTATAGGTTTAGGAACAGTGCTCCTATACTATTAGGGCTGAAGTGCTGAATCCTCAGCAGGTTCTTTAGCTCATGGATTTCAGCCTCGTCCAGGGGTTGGTGCCTCTGACCTCTAAGGGTGCATCATTGTAGTAGATGTGGTTGCACAAATCCTCCAGCGGGGGCTCTGGATCAGAGGTAGCAAACTGAGCTGCTTCTTCTATCTCCTTACGAATCTCTGCATCAATGTCCTGTTGTGATTACAACAACATAATATGGTGATAGGGTGAGGTATTCCTCACTTAGCGGTCACTCTTGTGATCCCCAGCAGTTAAAAAAGAGTGAAGACAATGGGTGCATCTCAATTAACTCCCTAGCTTCTTAGGTCGTGAACCAATATATCGTGTACATGAATTCGGGCACTGGTAAGGACAGTATGGACCCTGGCTCACTACACATTGGGACACCGGTGACTCTATTTCCAGCGACATGGCAATGTCCTCTTTGTACAACATCACTACTGTTATTATTTATGAACAACTGCAGAAATTATTTCTTTATTTTTTTTTTACATATATGTGCAAAATTTCAGCCATAAATACTTTATAAATCTTAGCTAGATTATATTCATTACCAGTCTGGTGATGTATGTCATAAATCATGTAGTGAGTTGGCTCATATGATTTATGTTTCTCGCTTTTGAACTTCCGTTAAGGGAACATCAATGCTCCCTGGTTTTCATAGTGCATTGTGGCAGCCCTTAAAATAGCAAACTCCCTGACCAGTGCCCTGACTAGTGAACCAGGGCGCTGATTGAGATGCACACAATAAGTGAATCAGTTTTTTAATGAAATTAATGTACTATATTTTTTGTTTCAATAATATTTCTGCCCGTATACGGGCAACCTAAATTTACTTCACTATATTACTATTAAATCCTAATCTAGTCATGACAAACTATATATCGTTGGAAAGGTCTAAGACTCCTTAATAGATATTTTAGCGCTGTTTTTTTCTTACAAATTATATGAACAGTAATATATGAATTTATGACAAGAGTGCGCCTCAAAAAATTGACGTCATTACAGGAGTTTCTGACCTTTGTCACAAAAAGTTGACGCACACACTTTTAATAATTGAAACTTTGGTTTTTAATGCTAAAAGTTCATAATAAAACATAATCTAGTATTTGTCAATAAAAAAAGATAAAATTATATTTTAAAAAGTAAAGTAAAAAGTCCTCTAATAAGTATAATATATATATAATATATATATATATATATATATATAATTTTTTATTATTATTATATCACATATTTTAGTAGTTATCATAATTAGGTATCATTTGAAAGCTTACGAACTCAGAATTCATCCTGTGAAAACCGTTTTGAAATTGGACATTGCGTTACCATAGAAACGGTATTTTTTTATTAGGCCCCTCCCCTTTTGGGCATCATCTTTCATAATTTATTATCAAAAATGTTCTAATCTTGACAAAACACATATTGTCAGAAAGGTCTGAGTCTCAAGGTTCCATATTTAGTGACAGAAGTGATATTTGGATAGAAATGTATTAATTTGTTGTGGCAGAATGCATACAATTAAATTCAATGGAATGCAATGGCACCTGGTGGGTATTTTTGGTATTACGCCTAAACAAAAATCTCATGGGAACTTCAATGTTTGGGATATCAACTTCAAATTTGGAACACAACTTGGTTAGATATATGGCTTTGACTTTCTGTCATTTTTAGGCTGAAACCTATATTAATTTATATATATTTTTTATAAAAGAAAAATATATATTTTATTATATTTTCATAACAATAGACTTAAACTTCAATAACTTTTAAATAGTTTAATTCTATTAATTTATTCCACTTCAGCAATAATCTGCCAAGAGTCTTCTTTTAAAAGAGACCAACCGTTAGTTTTTAGTACAAAGGCTTCATGAATTACAACCGTTTAAGTTTGGGTAGTGCATTTTCACGTCAACGCTCAAAAAGAGGGGTGACAGCTAAAGGGTTAATATTTTATATTTTGGGAGGATTTAATGGTACACAAAACAATATTCACATCTAAAATATGCACCATTTATTTCTATATAAAATCAAATATAAGTAAAAACATGTATAATTTCATATTATTTTCAGTTATTACAGTTTAAGTAAATAAGTCAGATTGGTGCTATATAATTGGAGAAATAAAGAAAATCATAATGCTGTTTATTCTCCAGTTGCTTATAAGAGTATTTTCAGACATAATTACTTCGTTTTATTAGGATTTGCATTTGGAATTTGGATATATATTTAGACATTATCAGAGACCCCATAAAATTGTTCTGTATTTACTCATTTGTCGTATTTCCCATTAATTTCCTATAATGTTCCTTTTTTGACCGTACAGAATCAGAAGTGTTTTTTTTTGTGTGTGTGTTCATATAGCAAATGTCACAAAAGTCACAATGTTTGGCACCATTAGATTACATTTTTAAAAATGAAAAACATAAATCAAAGGATTAAGGTCTGTTCATCTCTTGATCAAATAAAGAGTGCAAACTCAAGGAATCATGTAAAAATGAAGTACCTTGATCTCCTCCACCCTAGCCATGTTGCTACTAATCATGCGGTCCTTCAGCATAGAGATGGGGTCACTCTTACTGCGAACTTCCTGGATCTCTTCACGTGTGCGATAACTAAGGGCAGAAAAGCACTGATTGAAGGTACAGCGAATAGTGAGCTCACTGAAATGATGTGCAAACTAGCTTAAACTAAGGAAAGAATGTGATTATGGAGGTTAGAAGATGAGGACATGGTTTTAAACACGACGAGGAAGGATAAGCGCCTGCCACGGGGGGGAAAGGTTGAAGGTCAACCTCACCTGACCCCAGGATCGCTCATGCTGTGGCCATGGTAACGATATGTCTGGAGCTCCATTAGTATGGGACCCTATAGAGAGCACAGGCCAAACATTTGCCCACCAGTAACAAACTAGCCCTTGCTTAAATCTATAAGCCCTCCTTGACTTGTTAAAGGGATAGTTCACCCAAAAATGAAAATTAGCCCATGATTTACTCACTCTCAAGCCATCCTAGGTGTATATGACTTTCTTCTTCAGACGAATACAATTAGAGTTATATTAATAAACACCCTGGCACTTTTGAGCTTCATAATGGCAGTGAATTGCAACCATCAGTATGAAGCTCAAAAAAGTGCATCCATCCATCATAAAAGAACTCCACACGGCTCCAGGAGGTTAATAAAGGCCTTCTGAAGACAAGCCATGAGTTTGTGTAAGAAAAATATTCATATTTAAAACTTTATAAAGTAAAATAACTAGCTTCCGGCCAAACGAACATATAACATATAGTCATATACACATAGGAAGGGTTGAGGGTGAGTAAATCATGGGGTAATTTTCATTTTAAAGTGAACTACTCCTTTAAGTTAGTAAAATATGTCATTTTTTCTTTTCTATTACCTTTCCAGATCTGCAAAAATCAGCTGCAAACCTGGTCGCCTCTCTCACACCAAGAACATCCATACCATCCACCTGGAGAAAACAAAGAAAAAGGCTTATTTGCTCACATGTGCCTTTTATGTACATCTGTAAAATATTGCATGCACTGGTGAATATAATAACATGGTGAGGCATCTAGAAAAAAAGAAGAAAGACAGTCACCCTCAGGCCAGGAATGTAGTCTCCTTTCTTGTAATAGTCTGTACTGGCTGAGGCCCGTTCCACTGATGTCCCCATGCCATATTTATTATTCTCACAGATGAAAATGCAGGGGAGTTTCCACAAAGCTGCCATGTTAAATGACTCAAAGATCTGGCCCTGATAAGGGGACAAATCAGATAAAGCGTTATTTTGCAACAGCAGACTGTACACAAACCTGTGAGCGCATGCATGGAGGAAATTGCTCTCACCTGGTTAGCAGCTCCGTCCCCGTACAGAGTAACACAAACCTCGTTTTTACCCTGATACTGGCACGCCAAGGCCACACCTGCCCCAAGAGGAACCTTCCAAAGTGAGATTTAGATTAAGAAATGCTTGATGTAATATTGTAGTAAGATATGATGTGTGCGGTGCATCTCACCTGGGCACCAACAATACCATTCCCGCCATAGAAATTCTTGGCATACATGTGCATAGAGCCGCCCTTCCCTTTGGCAACACCACCCCTTCGGCCTGAAATAGATTGTGAACATGTTCAGATTCGGGCTGGTTATTACACATTTCTTGATTTGATTCCAATTCACAAGCTCAATTCGATTTGATTTGGGTATTTTCCATTTTACTTATGCAAGAAATTCTCTGTAAATTATGAAAATCTTTCATTTAATAACAGTTCAACTGCTATTTACACTATCAAAACACTACTTCAAAGGTTTGGAGTCAGTATGTTTTTTAATGTTTTTGAAAGAAGTCTCTTATACTCATTGCTCACCAAGGCTATATTTATTTGATCAAAAATACATTAAAGACAATAATGTTGTGAAATGCATTGTGGATGCATTATTATCAGCATCCATTACTTCAGTTTCACATGATCCTGAATCGAGTTATTGTTGTATATACAGTATATATGCAGATCGCATTAAATTGGAAAAAATGTATTTTACTCAGCCCTGCAGGATTTCTATTTTAAAGGGATAGTTCAGCCAAAAATTTAAACTTCTTTCTTATGTTGAACTAAAAATAAGATATTTTGAAGAATGTTGGTAACCAGACAGTTGAAGGTAGCCAATGACATCCATAGTAGGAAAATAAAAATACTATGGAGCCAACATTCTTTAAAACATCTTCTTTTGTGTTCAATAGAAGAAAGAAACTCATAGAGGTTTGAAACAACTTGAGGGTAAGTAAATGAAGACATAATTAAAATTTTTGGGTGAACTATTCCTTTAATGCAGTTTTATGGAGGACGTCCCCACCTGTGAGCTCTGCCATGATCTCTTTCACAGGCACACCTCTGGTGTAGGTGTAACCATGAGCCCTATATGCCGTGATCACATGATCCATGGGATTGATACCAGCCTCAATGCCTACAGCACAGGCTTCCTGAGAGGTAATGAGAAGACAAATCATTTGACATTGACTGTGTTATGTGTCTAAACAGCTGTTATAGACTACAAGGTATTCAGTTTTGAATTACCTGGCCATCATACAGGTGACAGAAGCCTCGTATGATCTTTTGCTTGTAGAGCTGATCTGCCTTCAGCTCCATGCGTCTCATGGTCTGCATAGTGCGGTAGTACCTGAGTCCATCCTCTCTGGTGAGCACCGTCTGCACCGAAGGGCCTTCGTCCAAGCGATGAAGGTCACACCTCTAAAATTGAACCATCTTGAATGAACAAAGTTTTCTGTGTATGCTTTAAGCTAATATGAGAACTTTACCTTGATGTCAAAGCTGGCCTGAGGTGTGAAGTCTGCAAAAGAACGTGCTGATACCACCACTCTGGAGCCCTGGAGAAGAGTGGAGTGCAGAGCAGTAATAAAACTATGAAAAAGCATTTTACTGTAAAACAGAGATACTGGAAAAATGCATTTAATTTGACAAGAATCATCATGTGAGACATTGAAGGCCATTCGATACTGTGAAACACTAATGTACCTAAAAATAAACACACTACTGTTCAAAAGTTTGAGGTCAGTAAGAGCTTTTTTCAAAGAAATTAATATTTTTATTCAGCAAGGATGCAGTAAATTGCTCAAAAGTGTCAGTAAACAATTTTACATTGTTAAAAAGAAAATCAAATAAATACTGTTCTTTCAGTACTTTTATTCATCAAAGATTCCTAAAAATAATGTATCACTGTTTCTACAAAAATCTATTAACATCGATAATAGTAAGAAATGTTCCTTGAGCCGCAAATAAGCATTTTAGGATAATTTCTGAAGTATCATGTGACACTGAGGACTGATGCTGAAAATTCTGCTTTGACATCACAGGAATAATGTACAAGTTAAAATACAGTTAAATTTAAATTGTAATAATATTTGACAATGTTAGCCCACTAGTTTTAGTTGATCAAATAAATGCAGCCTTGGTGAGCATAAGAGACCCCTTTTTAAAAAAACATAAAAAATATTGCAGAACCTAATTGAACCCAAACTTTTGAACAGTAGTGTTACAGTTGGTCAACAATATAATAACACAAACATTCCATAATGTGTATATGTAGTCTTTGAAATGACTCAAGATTAAAAGAAAACAAAACGTTTTAGATCTGAATGATTAAATATAATCCAACTGATTGAAGACAAATACACTTTTTCTATCATTGATAACATATTCATGTAGGATGGCAATATAGGATGGTTGAGCTGGTGTTGCTGGATCACATGGAGAAGTTAAGTCAGTCTGGAGTCCAAATCTTACCTCGGACACTGTCTGGGCTCCCTATGAAACAACCAAAAAGATAGAAACCATTAATGGGGCTAACTGCACTGTATACATTTTGTACATTACTGAATTAACTATATTATAAAGAAAATCATATAAATAGCTAAAAGACTATATATCAGGAAAAAGACCACTATATGGTTCGTAATGTCCATGCCAGAACAAACATCAATTCTCATTTCAATATATTACAGTTGGACTGTACCACAGGCTCTGAATGGCTAAAACAAACTATTATGATAAGATAACAAACAATAGAGGGACCAAACCAGGGCAGACTCTGCATTTTAATCAAATACAATCAGTTCAGTGTCCATTTAATTTACAGTAAGCATGAATTTGTATTTACTGAACACCATCTACAAGGTCGATGAGACTACAGAGATCTAGTTTAGCCTCTTGTAAATCTTTTAATGCCCCTAAGCTAAACAGAGCTTGAATCTTTCAATGCCTCTGTCTCTTTAATAGCAAACAGATAAGCAAACAGACACTTATGATACCTACATTTATTTTGGCACCGCCCTTGAATACGTTTGCAATTACTGTTAGCATGTTCTGCATGCTCCAAACCCCAGGGTGAGTGAGCAGGAGTGTTTCTGGAGGATCAACAACACCACACAGTGAGCTGAAGCCAGAAACACACACACTGCCTCAGTATGGCTGAGGATTTGACTACACTCTGTTTCAAGAATTAAAGTTCAACTTAACTTTGCACAGCAACAGCAACAATAAAGTTGAAAAATAATTGATAAAAATGTAAACAATAAATATGAATTTAATATAACGATATTAAGTCATATTAAGCATATTTGTAATAATATGATGGACACAGCAAATCTTTGTGCAAAACATTTTTAAAATGAAGGCTAATTTGTAGGTTAGCTCAAAATCAAAGAATAATCAAATAATGATAAATAGATATTTATTATAGATAGATAGATAGATAGATAGATAGATAGATAGATAGATAGATAGATAGATAGATAGATAGATAGATAGATAGATAGATAGATAGATAGATAGATAGATAGATAGATAGATAGATAGATAGATAAATAGATAGATAGATAGATAGATAGATAGATAGATAGATAGATAGATAGATAGATAGATAGATAGATAGATAGATAGATAGATAGATAGATAGATAGATAGATAGATATAGATAGATAGATAGATAGATAGATAGATATAATTATTTATGACACATACATTAAAAGATAGACTCGGCCTTCTTGATGTATGCAAATGTAGTTACTAGGCCTATGTTTCGGATTGTACTGAGTTATAAGCAGTAACAGGACTTTTATTTTGAAAACTTGTAAAGCTCGTCATTTACGGTCACGTTATTTTCATGAAATAGAATAGTGCCACCAAGCGGTAAAGAACAGTTATAGCCCTATGGTTATAGGGTTATAGCAGAATGTTTTCTTTTCAGGGGGATATTTCTATTTCCCAGTCTCACCCACCTCTGTTTGGTTATGTATAGAAGTGCTTTCTTTATTATTGTGTAAAATGTTTGTAATGATTAAAATAATGAACAACATTTAAAGAGTATATCAATTTAAAAGGTTTTTATACAAATATTTACATTTCAAAGCTTTCTTTTTTCCCTAAACATAATATTGTTTTTAGGTATTGTGAAACTTCTGCCTTTAAAATTAAAAACAAAGGCTTATTTCCCCCAAAATGTGTATATCCCTATGAAAAGTCATGCCATAAGTGAAATAATAATTGTGTAAAATGTAAAGATCACTTTCATATAATATCACCCTCTGTAGTCTCAATTTGTAGTCCCATCTTTAAATAAAAGATGGGTAATATTTTGTACTGTAAAAAGCAGGCGCATGTCTCCTCTTTGACGTCAGCGGCGGAAGGTCAGCGCTCAAACGGAAGTGAGAGTCAGAGCCCATCCGCCATTGTGGAGCAGAGCAGGGGTAATATTCTCTCCAGACGTTAAGACAGTGTGTGAATGTTTCAGAATAACTAAAACACACCACACAGCCGCCAAGCTCCCCCAACCGTTTGAGATTCGCCGTCACTACCGCCCGAGAGGACCGCTGCCGACCGTTTGAGACCGGGCGAGGAGATCAACGCCTGAGGAATACGCTGTGATTATAGGGCAACCCGGAGAGAGGAAAGATAACGCGAACCCGCAGCGGTGGCAGGAGAGACCGTGGACAGTCATAACAGCGATCAGTTCGGGCTCCCGGAGGATGTCTGCGACAACTGTCGATCAGGTACGCGAGACGGACGCGCTTCCATCTATACTATACTGCTAGAACTATATAAACATGATGGTGCTGCTCAGGTAGTGGCTGTGTCTCAAACCATAGCGAGCTGCCTACCTAGACAGCATTTTTGGGCTTCATTGGCGCGCTTTGAACGAATGAACGCTCTAAAACAAACGAATGCACAGGAAGGTAAGTTACTTCAATCGGTAAAAAAAAAAGCCATCATCAATCATTGTCAAGTCGCTTCTCCATAAACTGAGAGAGCCCTTGATATTTGATAGCTGTTCCTGCTAGGCCAAATTATTGTGTACATGTTCTGTTCCTGATAAACTGGTGTTCATGGTATTTTTTTCTCTCTTTGTCACTGTCCGCACACCTTGAACCCAAAATCAGAGACCTAAAGGACAAGGAAACAAAGGTAAGTGATGCAAAGACTCGTTTTCTTCAGGAATGTCCACTTTTAAAGGACCATTTGTGACAGGCTTAAAATGAGCCTGTCACAAACTTTGTTTATTTTTTCTATGGAACATAATACAGTCACCATTTACTTTTATTACATCCTTTTCCTTGCAATGAAAGTGATTGTGAATGTTATTTAGCCAAAGAAAGTCATATGATCATATGGATGGTGAACTGTCCCTTTAAGGGTGTTTACTTTACTGATGTGTTTCTCACTGTCTTGCTTGTTTGGATTTATAAATAGTCACTCCTGTGAATAATATTTTATGTAGTAGATTAACTAGATTAATGTTAATCTAGCTCTCTTTGTGATTTCGTAGTCCTGACAAGCAAGCAATTTCCTGTGTTTAATATTTAGAGATTTTTAGATAATCATTTCAAAATTTTATTTACTTCTATACAATTGCTGTCTCATTATTTCATATCAATGTCATGGTGTATTGAAGTCAAATTAACTGACACTCTCTGTCTTTTTTTGATATAATTTTGTTTAGTGCAAAACGGTTCAATGCATCAGAAGGATGCTGTAAATGATGATGACTTTGACAATTATCTGAGCAGCCAGACAAATCAGGTGAGTTTCTGTCATTATGCTGTCATATTAGTTGTATGTAGTGTACTCTGAAAATAGTATTACTGTCATTTCCCACCTTCCATTTCAGTGTTACATTACATTAAACTACAGTTTATATTTGTACAAATTTCTGAAAAATCAGTAACAAATCCCTGACCGCTTCCATATTTTATTTTTTTGTTGATACCTATAATTTGTTATATATTACAGTTCAAAAGTTTGGGGATGGGAAGATTTTTTTAGTGATTCTGAAAGAAGTCTCTTATTCTCACCAAGGCTGCATTTATTTGAACAAAAATACAGTGCCCATGCCCTGAGGATGGTCTTGTGACCGAAAGCTTGGCGATTAAAATTGCTTTCAAGGATTCAAGTGTGCAGACAGTTTATTTATTTTCTGAGTTGTTTAGTTGTGTCTGCCTGGCACCTTGTTTATCGTGAGTGCGGTGAAACGCCTTTAAAACAAAAATACAGTAAAAATAATATTATTGTGAAATATTATTACAATTTAAAATGTTCTATATTAATATATTTCAAAATGTAATTTATTGCTGTCATGGTAAAGCTGATTTTTCAGCATCATTACTCCAGTCTTCAGTGTCACGTGATCCTTTAGAAATCGTTCTAACATTTTGATTGGGTGCTCAAGAAACATTTCTTATTATTGTCTATTTTGAAATCAGTTTTACTTCTACATTTTTTTGTGGAAACTGTGATGCATTTATTTTTTCTTTGAAGAATAGAAATTTCAAAAGTAAAGTATTTATTTGAAATAGAAATCTGTTGTAACATTACAAATGTAGCCTATTTACTATCACTTTCAAACTATTTGTGTCCTTGTTTCTTTAAACAACTTTTGAACCGTAGTTTGTTTATCACACTTTTTTTCACCTATTATGATTTTGTCACATCTTTATTCAGCCATTTGTTCATTACTTACTCATTACTGACTTATCTTTAATTACACCCTACAGAGTAATAGCTACCCACAAATGTCTGATCCCTACATGCCCAGCTATTATGCTCCCTCTATTGGATTCCCTTACTCCTTGGGAGAGGCTGCATGGTCCACCGCAGGAGACCCGCCTATGCCGTACCTGACCACATATGGACAGATGAGCAATGGTGAGCATCACTTCATTCCCGACGGAGTCTTTAGCCAGCCTGGTGCTTTAGGGAACACGCCCCCTTTTCTCAGCCAACACGGATTTAACTTCTTTCCTGGAAATGCAGACTTTTCCACCTGGGGCACCAGTGGTTCTCAGGGACAGTCTACACAGAGCTCAGCGTACAGCAGCAGTTACGGATATCCCCCGAGCTCTTTGGGCCGGGCCATTGCTGATGGACAGGCTGGATTCGGCAGTGACACGCAACTTAGTAAAGTTCCAGGGCTCAGTAGTATCGATCAGGGAATGGCCGGGCTCAAGCTTGGCTCCGACATGTCGGCCGTTACGAAAACGGTCGGGTCTCCTTTAGGAGGGACACCGGGTATGAGTAGCATGGCTGCCAACAGCATGCCGCCTGTCAGCTCCTCCGCACCAAAACCCACGTCTTGGGCGGCCATCGCGAGAAAACCCGCGAAACCACAGCCCAAGCTGAAGCCAAAGCCCAACATGGGTTTGGGAAACGGCCCGACGATCCCCCCTCCGCCGATAAAGCATAACATGAACATTGGTACCTGGGAGGACAAAGGCTCAATCACCAAACCCCCTCTTGCCCAACAGATGCTTCCCCCTCAGCCGTTGGTGCAGCAGCAACTCATGGCCCAACCTCAACCCATGATGCAGAGTCAATTGCCTCCTCAACCCCAACACCAGCAGCTCCATCTACAATCTCCTCAGCACCCTCACCAGCTGCCTCCAGGTCCTCCCCACCCTCACCATCACTCGCAACCAGGTCCTCCGCAGCCCCTGCACCCATCTCAGGTGCAGAATCCCCCACCCCAAAATCGCTGGGTGGCCCCTCGGAACCGAGGAACCACGTTTAACCAGAACTGCGGCATGGAGAACTTTGGCCTTGGGACGGGAGTCCCCATGAGCTCGTCACCTTCTTCCGGCGAGGTTCACCCAGTGCTGGAGAAGCTCAAGGCCCTCAACAATTACAACCCCAAAGACTTTGACTGGAATTTGAAAAACGGACGGGTCTTCATCATTAAGAGCTACTCCGAGGACGACATCCACCGCTCCATCAAGTACTCTATCTGGTGCAGCACAGAGCACGGAAACAAGCGCCTGGACGGCGCCTACCGCTCGCTCGGTGCCAAAGGTCCTCTGTACCTGCTCTTTAGTGTCAACGGCAGCGGACACTTCTGCGGTGTGGCTGAGATGAAGTCGACCGTGGACTATAACGCCTATGCCGGCGTCTGGTCCCAGGATAAGTGGAAGGGCAAGTTTGAGGTAAAATGGATCTTTGTTAAGGACGTGCCCAATAACCAACTGAGGCACATTCGCTTAG